TTTCCCCCCCCCCCGTGCAAAAAAAAAAAAAAGCACCTCAAATTATGAACCAAACTTTATTTCCCACACAAACACACATACACCTGCACAGGTGTCCCCAAACAAAACTTGATCCCTAGAGTGCTCATACAGCAGTCTGCAGCTGCCCCCAAGTCTGAGTCCAGCTCCTTCAGTCCAGTCCTGGCTGACTGAGCCAATGAGAACTCCAACTCCACTGTGTACTCCTCTGTGTAGGGCTGACCAGGGTCCATGTGCACACGGCTTTATCTTTCCCTTTTTCTAGCCTCAAATGTCCTCTTCCTTTTCCCCTTGCCCCCCGGCCTTTGAGGTTTCCTGAGTTTCAGTCCAAATTAACAGGCATATGCAGACTGCCCCCTGGTTTCACCTGCTGTTACACACATTACATTCACATTACGCTTGTCTCCCAAACTATTACACTGTCATGTCTTTGCTCATTAGTTTTAAAGTCTTTCTTCAGCTGGGATAATAGAAAAAACATATCTCTTCAGTCATCCCATTGCAATTCTAGTCCTTCTCAGCAGGGCATATAAATTTCCTGTTTCTTGCTTGAGGATTTAGATATACAACTTCTGATAGTCTTAATGAGAGTAACATTCCTAATCCCCACACACAATGCACTGAAAATGTACCCAGAATATAAAAAGGGAGACTGGAATCTCAGCTTTAAGCATCTTTGTCTTTTTCTTTTCTCTCTACATTATTTGCATCTGCATAAGTTTGCTTAATTAATTGACATCTATTCTGAGGACATTTTTCTTCATTTTCTGAGCCTGTCTGGTTTTTGTTGGGAGTGGCCAGGCTTGAGTTCATCTTTTCAACTAGTAGGCTAATTCTTGAGGGGGTTAGGAGAAGAGATTTACCAAATTGGTCCTGTTATTAACCTGATTGCTTTAAAGCTTAGACAACAATAAGGTGTTCATTTCCCAGTTTGATTTAATTAGGAAACTCCACCATGAGTCAAATGAGCATGGAGAATAGGCTGTTTTATGATATTTGAATTGTTACATTTCAACAACTGCTGAGGAAAACACCTTCCTGCAGAGCCTACATGGAGTAGTATTTGACTAAGCAGTCCTCACTTTTTCCTACCTTCTTTCCAGATGTTTTTTTGTTTACCTTTGATGCCTTTTTTTTTTTATTAAATCAAACCCTATTCCTTTTCACACCCGCTCTCTTCCCCTTTGAACTTTGTAAAGGAACCCTAGGATCTCAGCAAAATGCCAATGGTAACACATTTTTTATTTTTATGACAACCCTTTTGTTCCATTTGTCTCCAGCACCCTCTGCTTGTGTGTATGCATGCTCACACATGCTCCCAGCAAAGACTGGCAGAGAAACCAAATCTAATGCGTTTGAGAGAAAGGAACACAATGTAAAACCAGAAACTGTTTCTGTTTATGGAACATGCATAGAAACCCAAAGGGTGAACTTCTCTGTGCCTCAGGGATGCTCTAACTTATACTCTGAACATTATATTTCAGCAGGTCCCTTCCCTCCCTATCAGATCTTCAGGTCTTGGATCAGTCTCCTGCTGTGGACCATTTGCAAGCAATGTATGCAAATCAGTAAACTGGAAACTGCTGGATGCATGACAATGCAGTTGCCCCAGCGTTAGCAGACAGTAAATCTCACCCAACTATTCCGTTTTGTATCCTTGTCTCTCTGTGATGTTGCTTTTTTTCTATGAGGCTACTGTTTGGAATTCCTTTGTTGACTTGCAGCATCCCATCTCTTCTTTTTGAATTCTCTCCCAAAAATGTACTTGTTCAGCCATGAGATCCATGCTGGTATTCTATACAGTGTTTTGACATACACATTGCTGGTCTTGAATTATAAGACTCTTGGATCATCCTTCATATTCTGTAAAGGCAGAACATATTGTTAGTATTCTATAAATCAAATATTTGACTAATGCTGCTGCAGGGGTTATGCTATGATCTTTTGGAAAAAGCCATTTCTAAGTTGAAGGGAAAACTACATGTTATGCAGGTTGAACTCTTTGTTACTAGTTCCTTCTGCAGCTCTGCATGGGGATAGAACATAGCATTATTTCTTTAATGCCTGTATTTCCACAGCTTGGTATTATGAGGTCATGCTGGAACGATTAACACTGGTCTCAAATCCCTCACTTCTTTGCTTTTGTCAACCATCTTGGACCTCATTGCTGGGGATTCTGGTTTTCTCTAATAAAAAAAATTCCCCAATTTTCAGATTAGAAAAAGTAACCCAAAATCCACATTTTTTTCATGATCAGTATGAAATACCACTATATTTATAACTATATAATAGTGGTGTTTCATTTTAATCACGGAAAAATGTGGATTTTAGGTTTGTTTTTTTTAATCTGAAAATTGGGGATTATTTTTATCAAAGAAAACCAGGATCCCTGCTCATTGTAGCCACTACTACAGTCTTGAACTTACTATGGCACACTATTCAACCACTGTATTGACCACGTGTTGCCAATCTAGCACTGCCTTTGTGGCACAAACAGCAATTATGCTTTGGATTCATCTTATGTTGACCCATCCCAAAAGTCCTGTGTGATTTAGACTGATACTGTACCTTTTATGGAAAGCAGCCTTTGTGATACTTTTTTTTCTTAATTAAAAAGTTCCTTATGATTCATAGATAACACAGCATTCCAAACAGTCCAGACAACAGTGGTAAAAAAGCATTGGTATTTGTACTGGCTATAAATTTTTAAATTCATAATTGCATGCTGTTTTATCAGAAATAAGGAAGACATGATAAAAAGTCAGTTTAGGGAACAGGGAAGTGAAGAAACTGATGATCCTGAACTGCTCTTCAGTAGCAGTGGCAAAAAAATCCATGTTACAAAGGTGTACAGATATACTAATACATTTTAAATAAATAATAATCATTAATGTTGAAGAACAAATTATTAATTTACTGAAATAATACATCTGAAGTAACTAATTACGTTTAAAAAAAATCTGGAAAAAACATTTTTATCAGCCTTTATTGTCAAATGGGTTTTTTATTTGCCATGTATCTTTTGCATTTTATTTTATTTTATTTTATTTTATTTTTAACAGGAGCACAAACCTTCTCTGGAAGCAACAGGAAACCTTGCAATAGAGATACATTTAGTGCAACTGCTCCTGCTTTTCTTCTAGAACGAGCACCCGTGAAAGAATTCACAGCTGATGCCAGTGGTTCTTTGAAAGTGAGAACTCCATCCAAAGCTAACTCTAAGTCCAAAGAGATTCAACCACAGTGGTTTCCAAAACCAAAGATCCCTGTATTTAATTGTGTGTATGATATAAAGGCTTTACCAAAACTTGTTCTAGAAGAAAATGATCTCCACAGGAAAAATCAGTTCTCCAAAGGTAAGCTGCGAATCCTGCCTTGGCTATTTGGAATATGCTTTAAATGGTGAAATGAGATCAGACTCAAAGATATATCTGGAATAAGGTAAAAGTACTGTAGTCTATGTTTGTCCCCTTTTTGATGGTCATTTAGTGAGAAGTCATTTCACATAATCAATTTGTATATATTTATTGTTGTGGTCTAGGAACACCAGAAACAAAAAATAGAACTGAGCTTTTTATATACACACACATTCCTTTGCCACAAAGCCTGCCAGCTGTCAAGGAGATAGGTACAGGGGCTTCCAGCTTCTGGGGCCCTGCACTTCTGGCTGCTGCCAGGCAAAACTTGTGACATGGGTGCTTGTGGGACTGTCTGTCTTGGGGCACAGCGGGGTGAAAACTGCAGGCCTGCTAGGCCCTGCTATGGCCATGAAGCCTGACAGCTGTCAAAGAGATAAGTGCAGGGGGGTTCTGGGGCCCTGCACCCCTAGCTGCTGACAGGCAAAACTCATGACATGGGTGGGTGACACTGTGTGTGTGTTAAGGTGCACCCTCACTCAACTGACACCAAGGCAGAAAGCAGAGCAGTTCAAACAATGCTGCCTTTTATGCAGTTTTTCCATCCCTCCCCCAGAGCACTGGGATTGGAAAGGGCCTTAGGAAAGGATGACAGTCACTGGCCAGCTACACAGTCAATAATGAGAGCACTCCTTCCCTCTCTTCCCCCGCCTTCTTACTTTAGTTTCTGTTTCCCTGCAGGCAAGCCCAGCTTGAGCTTTGAAACTTGAAACATTGCAAAATTTTGAAACATTTTGACTTGCCTCATTTTGTTTTGAAGCTCTCTGTTTCATTTTGATTTCACTGTTTCGAGCTCGAAACAAATAAAAAAAGCACTGAAATGAAACTGCCAGTGAAATTTCACTGGCTGTTTCATTTTGACACTGTTTTGACCAATTTTGAAGTTGAAACAGCAAAACTGGAATGAAACAAAGCCTGTCGAAATAGCCTTGAAACAAAATGAGGCTGACCAAAACTTTTTGAAAGTCAAAACATTTCAACCATGGGCTGGGGATGGGAAGTCAGTCCAGCTGGGCTGACTTCCCATCCCCAGGGCAAGATCCAGTAGGGGGTGGTGAGGCAGCCCAGCTGGGCAGCTTCCCGGTCCTCTGCGCTAGATCGCACCGGGGTGGAAGGCAGCCCAGCTAGGTTGCTTCCTCATGCTACATCATGCTGGGAGTGGGAGGGAGCCCAGCTTGGCTGCTTCTCTGTCCCCTGTATTACATCACTATGTAGGCGATGTACATGCTATGGCGTGATGTAGCATGGGGGACAGAGAAGCAGCCCAGCTGAACTGCCACTTGCCCCTGGCACAATCTAGCATGGGGGATGGGGAAGCAGCCCAGCTAGGCTGCCTCTTATCCCCAGTGTGATCTAGTGCAGAGGACAGGAAGCAGCCCAGCTCGCTACTTTCTACATCCAGCACGATCTAGCACAGGGGATGGGAATTCAGCCCAGCTGGGCTGCCTCGCACTTCTGGTGCAATCTGGTGGGGATGGGCAAGCAGCCTAGCTGGGCTGACTTCCCATCCCCAGCGAAACTTTGAAACAGGGTCAAAACAGCCTTTCTGTTTTGATGGAATGGAACGGAACAGCTGTTTTGACTTGAAATGAAATTCAATATGAAACACTGTTCTGTCGAACTGTCAAAACTCAATGCAAAATGGAACGGTGTCATTTCGCACAGCCCTACTGACTACCTCCCAGCCCTGCAGGGCAGGGAGCACTCCCTGAATGAATAGAACTGGAGGGCTTCAAGTCCCCAAGTGTCTGTTCCTGGGCACTAGGTGATGGATCTCCTGCTCCAGGCTTCTCTGGCACTGTGTCCCAGGCAACACTTCCCACAACCCTGGCTGCCTGGGTGCCATTTCCACCCCCCACCAACTTCCCTAAGGGGCACATACGAGAATGTGGGGAAATGTGAAATGAGGAAGAAATGTGCCTCAGTTTACAGTGTTGCAGTTGCCAAACTGTTCTTGTTTTTAGTAAAGAAAACCTGTTGAATGTTGTCCATGTCACAATTTAGTCCTTCTTCCCATTGATGCAAACCAGAAAACCTTTTGAGGGGGTGAGAGAAGTTGTGAAAGATGTGAAATGACTTAGAAGGGCAGCTAGAACTGGGAGTGGGGAGGGGGTTGGTGTTAGGGCAGAACTCAACACAGAAAAATGGAGGGGGGGCACGGGGAAGAGGGCTTTAGACTTGGCACACTGAGTCCCAGACTCAGGAGTGCAGACCAGGGACTTCTCCATGTAGAAGAAGCTGGACAGATAGGCAATTCCAGGCCCACGATCTGCTTGAGAGGGGTATGGGTTACAGGGGTGGGAGGCAATTGCAAGGCCGGGGGGGGGAGTGGCTGAAAGGTGGAAGGCATCATCACAGCAAGGGCTGTGGATTCCTGGCACTCCCTTGCAGGACCCCCAGCCCCAGACCCCCCACTCCCAGGGCCTAGTCTTCCTTGGTTGGGATCCAGACCCTGCAACCGTTGTCCACACCTAGGGCCCACCTCACATGGCAGGACCAAGCCTGCACATAGCTGCACATCCCTGCCATGGCTGGGGTGCTCCCCTGCAGTAGGATCAGGGCCAGGAGAGGTATTGTGGGGAGCAGAAAAGCTCACCCCTAGACCCTTTGCCTGGTGAGTCAATGAGCTGCTGCAGGTAGACTCTGATGCCACATGCTGTCCTAGCAACAGTTTGGCCCAGCAGTCTGGGAGACTATGCTCCTCCCCCCCCTCCCCGGTTCTGAGCATTCCTGCACCCTGCCAGGACGGTCCTGGAACGACCGGGGGGGGGGGGGGGGGG